GTTACAGGGCCATGTTTCCTTTGTCCGAGTTCGGAGACCCCGGCCACACATATAAACCATACGGCTCCAATTTCGGAGTCCCCGGCTGGTAGTGGTTAATCATGGCTTTTTTGGCTTTAACAAATTTGTTGAGTTCGATGTCCCCTTACCCTTCACTTCGGAGGACTGCTACTATCACACTGTTGTTTGAAGATTAGTGCATACCACAGTTACAGTCTATTCACCATGCAGTTGCTGGTTCAATGGGGCCTGCTGCTGGACAAAGCCCTCCATTCATGGCATACCATAGCCCAGCAGTCGTGGTCAAAATAATCCCGCCGTGAAGGGGTTAAAAACACATCTATAGAACTTTTATTTACAAACAGTTCGATCTGTTCGATAAAGTTATCTCTATGTTCAAGTGTAATTTGATTGAGCGACGCGGTACGTGATACAACGTCATATTGAGTATTGAATGTGTAACACTTTTATCCCGATCGTCATCAGGATCACAATTTTTGTTAATGAAGTCAACTGACATCACTTTTTGAAGTTTAATTTGATGTTTGCCAATCTTTTTCCACACTGATATGATTTTGTCATGAATGATATTACCATAATAGTTAGAAAAAGTCATAACGTCAACTATCATGTTTTTGGGTTTTAATTCAAAGTTTATATTGTGTTTTTTAAATCTAGCAGTTTCTTGCACATCGACCTGATCAAATGTACCGTAATCTATATGAGATTTGATCGCATGTATATAATCAGATCTTGTCTTTTTACCGCATTGTCCTTTAGATTTGACTTTTAATTTTGTGATTCAACGATACGTTTGAGATCTTTTTTTTTGCGACGCGTGATGTTTGTGTAATTTTTTGAGGTGACCTCGAATCGCTTTAATATAGTCTTTTTTAAAATAACATTTTGTGACACTATTTCTGGGTGGGGGTAAGTTTACATTAAAGTCTTTTATGTATTGCTTGAGGCTGTTTTGTGTGGTATTAATATTTTACTCATCCTTTTGATATACTACTTTATAATATATTATTTATTCAAGACTAATACCACTTTTCTATGCCAACGGGGCGACATTCTTGGCATTTATACTTGTCATGACCGTGTTTACACGCGTGTTTGCAATGTGTTGCGTGCAGTAGTGTTTAAATTTTTTTTTTTAAATCTTTTTTAATATATCATTCCAAACGATTCAAGCATGCTTTTGTAATCAGTTTTACTAGTATTCTTTTTATTATTGACAACAAACTTGTAATTGATTATTCCATTTAACCCCTTATCGCCGGGAATTTCTTTCCGAAAGCTGACTCCGAAAATTCCAGCCTCGCTTGGTCACGAAGGTCACCTGCCAAACC